GTCTTTCCTTATATTAGGGCATTCATGTCTCATTTGGGTGAAATAACTTAATGCTAGGAAGCCTTTAACTTGTATGGTTGTTTCTAATCACCTTTTTCAGGCACAATCAAAGTTATATCTGCCAAATTATCAAAATCTGGTTCCCCATTTGTTGTTCTTGCCACTCGTCATGCCTTCCTCTTTGATACAAGTCTCATGTGTTGGTTGAGAGTGGCCGATGACTGCTTCCCTGCCTCAAATTTTACCAGCTCCTGGAACTTGGGCTCATCTCAAAGTGGTGAGCTCGCCGCATTACAGATGGATGTTAGGAAGTATTTAGCCAGGAAACCAGGTTGGAGCAGGTTAGTAATTGGGGCTTCTCATTTAACATCTCTATGTTTATATAATGAATCTAAAGAAGACCCTTCTATCAGTGCACACATGATGTTTTTCGTTCTCCCAATAGACCAAACCTTTCAAGAAAATCTTACTGATTTCATTAAGGCTTGCTGTATCATGCTGGTTAGTAAATTGATGATATCCAATTCGCTAATATTTTTCTTCTTGGCTATTTTGAGGATTTCTTTAACAAGTGCTAGGATAAGAAGTAGTCTTTGTTTCCTCCATTTGGCTTTTTCCTCTCTATTAAAACTTCACTTATTGATTCGCTCTTTCATCTTAATGCAATGATAAAATGTTGTTGTGCGTGTCTTAGAACCTTTGTCTAAGTTTGTGCTGTGGATCTTTTATCATAGAATATTTACTTGTTGCCACTTCGTAGGGTAATTGATGATGGAGTGGAGACACGTGCTCATTTAGAAGCTCAGTTGGCATCTTCTTTAGCTTTGAAGTCCCCTAATGAATATCGCCAATGTCTTCTTTCCTACTTAAGGTTTTTAGCAAGGTAGGTTTTGTTATATTTATTTTTATTCTTCTTATTATTATTATTATGTTTGTGTTTCAAATTCCTTGATGCGGTTTTCTTTTACTTGTCTATAATTTTCTTTTTGGTCATAGAGAGGCTGATGAGTCTCGTTTACGAGAAGTATGTGAATCTTTTCTTGGACCTCCAACCGGGATGAGCGAAGCTGCCTCTTCAGACACAAAGAATTTAGCTTGGGATCCCCATGTACTGGTAAGCCTGTCTGTGTGCTAAGATACTTGTCATTATGTTTATCACACGTATGGACAAGTTATTTGCCTAAAAGGTGTTAAATGTGTGGACGCAACTTATTTGTATTTCGTGTCATGTAAGGTATTGCATACGCATTTGGTTCGATGTTGCTTTATCTAGGGCAGAGAGGAGTTAGGGTTTCCTATGCAGGATAGATGTCAATCAACGAGTGCAGCTGTCGCCGTCGCGACGGAGGCCACCGTGGAGGAGGGTTTTGTTAGGTTTTGTTCTGTGAGAGAAGGGGTTCAATATGCAGAAAATGAAGAGGAGATTTCTGGCGGTGGAAAATAAAACATTTGATGTGGTATATGAAGGAAGAAACGTTGAAGGACTTCGATTGAGTGAAAATGGCTGGGGATTTTTAGTATCAATATCATATGGGGAAGAGGATGTCAAATGGCTGGTGGAGACGTTGAAGGGGTTTTATGGAATGAAGGGGGAGCAATATTGATGCAAAATCAATAAGGAGAAGACCATTCCCTGTGGGTGGTGTTAGGGTACAACAGCGGAGGATGTCTTCTGGTATTTTTGGAGGAAAGGGGAGAAAATGTCTGTTGTATTTTCTTGTCGGAAGGAAGAGAAGTGGAAGGATGGTGGAGGATGTTGGTGGCAATGGCAGTGGTTGCTGGAAGATACTAGGACACGGAGGAGCGGAGGACACATAGGGCACATCTGTTGTGTGGGAAGGAGAGGGAGAATGGGACAACAGAGGAAGTTGTGTATGAACCGATAAGGTTGTGTTGCCCTAGATGCTGAATGGAGCTCCAGATAATGGTGGAAATTCAAGACTGACAAGTTTTGTGGAGGTGTTTCGTGGATCTGCAGAGGAAGATAATCTGGATTGGAGGGAGTTTGAAATTCAAAATTCTGTAGCCCAAGACGATAAGAGGGAGTTACGTTTAGAAGGGAGCAGAGTGGATCGGCTAGGTGAGTCCAAAAAGGAGAAAAGGCCAAATATGGAAGGGCCCATAAGGATATTAATGGTGAACTGGTGGACTAGAGGAGGTTGGATTTTCGAAATGTCAATAGGCCTAGGTTGGATAGACTTGGACAAAAAGGGATTGGATGAACGAATTATAAAAGATTCTAGTAGACCAACAATAGAATTAGGCTCACGAGGTTCAACAGAAACATGAGGCCCATTCGAAATAATATTTTAAGTCAGGTTAGGAGGTCGGGTCAAGGTTTAAAACTTTGGAGACTCATGACTCGGCAACCCATGAAAGGTGCTTCGCACAAGGGAGGAGAAACCAAAGGAGAAGATCAGTGTCCAGGGGAAACCATGCTGATGATGAGTGCAAAAAAAGCCGAATAGACAAAGGGGTGCTTTTGGAGGGGTTAGAAACTACAGAGGAGGAAATGGAGGCATATCAGAGCGGTGAAAAGGAGAAATATAAAGGCAGAGATGAGGATCGGAGAGGAGAGAGCGATCTGGAGAAGGGGGAAGACAACGGGAGCTTGGCCTTGGTGCAAGTGAGTAAAGAGCTGATGGGGAGAGAAGGTAGGCTGGTGGAGAGTGAAGAAAGGCAGGGATGGGAGGTGGAGGAGGAGATAATTCAAGAAATTTTGGAGAAGAAAATTCTGATTGGATAATGAGAAATATCCAAAAATTCAGTCACATGTTGGGTGTGTCTTTTAACAGACTAG